GGCGGGTGAGTTGACTGTGAACTTGTACTAAAGCGTGCTCTGCTGGCGATTCCTAGGGTGTGCAGATTTATCTTCTCTGCATTTACTTAACCCGGCAGTGAACTGCGCGGGCGTCATTTGTTAGGCGATGACAGACTTCACCTCCAGCAAGGGCTGCTTCACAAAATCGCAATAATTATCTAATAACCTTCATAACAAATATTATTATTGAAAAGACTGGCTTGTGGGGAGGGGATCTGGTGGGAGAAGAACAAATTTATTGTGAACAACACCAAACAAAACAAACCTGGGCAGACCTTCAAGTTCTGGGGCTTAGAATGGCTGGGGCTGTGGATCCCCTCCCCTATGTGGGTGGGAGCTTAGGCTGACCCCCTCAGCCCTGCCTGGGAGCCCCGTTTATAGTTTTGCCATTGACTAGAAGGAAATTCCTCTTTAGAAACCAAAGGGATGGAGCCCACAATGCTCTGCACTCTCCATGGTGGGCAAGCCATGGACAGACCCCCAGCCAAGTCAGGGGAGAGGCTGAGAAGGGCATCTTTTAAGCTAAAAAGATTGTTTTCCTCCTTAATTGCCCATCTTTTAAGATGTGATTTGCTTTCCACTCACTAATTATTTCAATATAGTCCTCTCAGAATCTCAGCAAATGAACAGGACTCTATTTTTGGTAGGAAATTCTGCCTTGCTCTCCCAGAGCCGCCAACAATGAAGCAGGGGAAAGAGCAGGAGAAAAGGAATCTTGGCATAATGTTGTGAAATTAGACCATGGAAACCCTAACAAACCCCTAAGTAAGTGTGACCAGAAGCTTCCTGTTGTATTTATAGTTCAGAAATATTGTCTCTTCAGCTTGTGGGAACAAACGAGCCCCCGCACATTGCCGCTGAGGAGGAGCACACACACGCACTTCTGCCACCGGCTGAGGCTGGATGTCTTCATAAAGCCCTCAGTGACAGACATATTTTTTCTTAGAAAGTTCCTCTGCAAGAACAACCCAAAAGAATCCACAAAAGAAATAACTTATCTACAGAATGAGCAGAAAACCAGCCATCCTCTTTATTATGCTTTCTATGAAAATAGGAAGAAAGAAAAAAAATCCTCCAATAACGTATAGGTCTGACTGCATGATGTATTTTTAAAGTCATTTAATTCCATGTGGCCATGTGGGTTTGCCTGCTCTCTTAAATTCTACTTAAGTTTTGTGAAGATTAAAACAGACAGAAATAAGCAAGCTGACAATATTTACAGCCTGTAATTTTTCTCATTCCTTGGAAAGATTCTCTATGTTCTGTGGTGCTGGATATAACTTCAACAGGCTTTCTGCTCATTCCCACACCCCAAGGTGGAATATGGCCATGAAGTAGTGTGGATATTTTCTGTGTAAGTTACTCAAACTAAACTGGCAGAATCCCTGTCACTTTTTTTTTTTTCTAATTTCAATCACCAAGAAATCACTCAAGCAAGATCACCAAATGAGTAACTAAAATGGAACCCTAACCCAATATTTTCAATAAGGAGCCCACAATTCAGAGCAGCAAAAAAAAGGAATCCAGTATTCTCACAGACACATAACATCATAAAAGAGAACCCATACCCATATAGAGTTTATATCCTTGTTCCCACTAAGATGTGGACACATCTTCTCGATTGCTGAAGTACCAATGTTTACTTTAATAGGTTGCATACAATTACTTCAGGATTCTTCACCTTGCCACTATTCATGAGAAGTAGCACTTGTGGGAGGGTTTTTATTTTTCAAAAAAAAACTTTCTAGGTTTTGCTTTCTGGACCTCTGACTTTGGGGACATCTGTTGGACTTATGTTGAGTGTAGGTGGCCTCTGCACAATAAAGTTTATTGAAATTCCAAATCTATACTTTCAGTTTTTTCACTTTAAGCACTTAATAGGTATCTTTGCCAATTAATACTTGCTGAAAACTGCCCAGCTCCTAAGGAGAAAAGCAGATCCTATTTTTTGTTTCATTTCTGAATGCAGTAGGAGAATTTGGCTTAATTCCTAAAACAGGATTGAGGGAAATCTACTGGGTCCCTTGTGGGTACCCATCCAGAAAAAGATCCCGGGACAGGCCACAGTCCCCAGGCACTGGGCTTGGGTTTTGCCATTGAAGAATATGGGGGGTTGGGGCCAGAAGGGGTGACTGGGGCCAATATGGAATTGTACCCAGGATAAACGTATTTCACCTTACTTCACCCATTGGTGCAATTTTGGAGATTGTTCTGGAAATCATAGATTATGTAAATTTCCTGGGATCAAACAGAAAGACCAGCTAACAAAAGAAAGGCGGAAATCTCCTACTGACAAAGGACCAATTTCTTCCCTAAACTACCGTTTATGATGTGTCAGGAAAAACAAGCTAATGGCTCTGGGGACTTTTAAGTTGGGCATTGAAGACACCTCAATTTCCCCCCAAAACTTTAGAGCACAGTTTGGAACAGAGAATTCGCCTGCATGTTGAGGGGGAGTGAATTTCTCCAATCTTAATGTTATCTAGGGGGCCGCCTAAGGTGCCTTCTGAGGGTCCTGTGCCTAGATGTTTTTAATTCTACAAAGAAGGAGAGGAAAAGGAAAGAAGAGAGGGAGAAGAAAGGCAAAGCGGAAGAAAAGAAAGCGCTTTAACCCCTTTCAATTAGCCTGGGGATTCAAAGACTAAAGTTAAATCCGGCCATAAAGTTTATTGCTTCAGACTCACAGGCGGGTGAGAACAGTCCCACCGAAATAAAAAGAACGTGCAGGCTAACAGGGTTCAGGGCCTGGTCCCGGGTGCGGGGGAGGGGGTGCTGAACACCCTCACACACCAGGGTGGGGACCCTTGGTCCTCAGGGTCCAGTGGGCGCTAGCAGCCCAGGATCCACCTTGCAACCCGGGAGCCCAGGCTGGAGGTGCAGCCCCCGCCTCGCCGGCCTCTGCCACCCTCCTGCTCTCGCGAGCTAGCCTGAAACCCAGCCCCGAAGGCCGCTGCCTCAATTCAGCCCTGCCAGATGACCCCGGCCCGCGAAGACATATTGCCACAGCCCCGTAAGGAATCCCGCCAGAGTCCGCCTCGGCCCTGCCCGGGCCTTTCTTTCAAACTCCTGAGCGCAGCGCGGCCTCGGCGCCCGCGGCCGGCGCCCCCCTGTCTCCCAGCCCCCACCCCAGGGCTCCGCGACCCCCAGGAGCCGGCCCCGGCCGGCCCAGCAATTGCGCGGGAGACTGGGGATGCGGCCTTGCCAGGTTCCCACACACAGGCCCATTCGCACACAAAAAATCATCTTTTTGCACGCCGGCAGGAGCAGCGGAAGTCATTAACATCCGCGGTTGTGCAGCAATTAAAGTTAGGCCTGGGGATGCGGCGCGGCCACAGGCGCTGCTCACCCTGCTGCCTCCGCAGAGCTGGTTCCTGGCGCTGCTCTTTTGGGCAGAGGGAAAGTTTGCTCTGCCTTTTCGAATTCAGAGGCAGCCTCAGAGCTATTGAACCAGAGAGAGAGAGAGACAGAGGGAGAGAGAAAGTTTCCAAAGTACAAATAAACTTGAAAGCGCTCAGGAGGCGAGCTTACCTTAACTCGGAGGGAGCCATTTTTCAGAGTTTTGAGAACTTGTGGTTTGGACACTTCTGGACCTAAAATTGACAGTTTGAATGGCCAGGCGGCACACGTAGCCTGCAAAAGAGTCAAATGGAGTCCAGCGTTAGTGAGATTATATGTTATGTGGTATATAATGTTGGATGTCAACTCCCCAAAACCATAAAACTTACTTTAATGGCCCCACGTGACGTTTTATAGCCAGTGAGCCGATCTGTCTGTGCTATGGATGATTTTACGATCTAATTCATAGACAAAACCCTATTCATTTGGCACCCAAATGTCATATAGCCGGAACTGGGGCTTATAAAGTTTACTGTTTTATAACTTTTAAAAGGAAAGACGGCATCAGTGTAAGCAGTCGGTAAATGTGCAAATCTCTAGTTGCGCTTTAGCTGCTCTGAGGAGTTTCCCAATCGAGCTAGGATGGGGTAAGTACCTTCCATTTGTAGCAAATTAATAGTAGCAAAAGAAGCCAACTGGGTCCAGGATGAAGAGTGGGGAAGGGGTGCTGGGATGGGTTAAGGGCAGAGGGTTTGGGGTCCACAGCCAGACAGAGCAGTGTCTTCAGCAAGTGGAGGCCTAGGACAGCCTTAGGAAAGAGGCAGGATCTGTGTGGCCTGAGGGTGGCTAACAAAGCCCTGGGCTTTTTCTCCTTTTTTCTTGCTCTTTCTCTCTTTTTTTTGTACCCAGCAAGTTAACTTGGTTTCCTCAGAGATGGGCATGGTGGCCTGGAGCTTTGGAACCGCCTACAGCTTTTTCCACCTTCTGCCCTGAACTTTGTGATGGGTCAGAGTTAGGGAAGCGATGGGCCAGTCTTGGTATGAGGTCTCCCTGCACAGGTCATCTGCTCAGGTAGCCTCAGACCCAACGGTTTCCAGGACTGGACAGACAGACAGAAAAGCAGACAGAGCCACTCACTATTTGGCACAAACCAGACCAAATGAACTTACAATAGAAAGTTTATTTTTTGTTCCAGTCAGTATTTTTTCCTTAAAAACAAATACAAAAAAAAAAAAAAAAAAAAAGCTGATCACAGTTTGCTTAAAACAGACAGACTTGGACAATATTTGTAACTTTGTTCACAAAAACATACATCACTGAAGCTGCGCTTATAAGAGCCACTTCCAGAGTTCGTGCAAAGGGTCCTACAAAGGCACGCAGGGACACACCGCTTGGAGTCACAGTTTTCATCACAGAGTCACTATTCACTACACGTCGAACAAGTTGTGTCTCATCAAGTCACCTCTACAACAGCATTAATTACACAAGGAATATAGGTAGTTTGAATAAAAATATCTTTAACAGCTTGGAGCTATTGAGACAGGAACACTTCCACGCACATGCACAGTTAAACAACTTGAGTGCAACACACAACATTGGCACTAAACGAGATTGAAGGGGGACTTTTTGTGTGTGTTTTTCTCTTTTTTTGTTATAGTTACTTCAAGTAACACAGCTTGCTTCATATAAATAAGTTAAAACATCTATTTTTTTTTTTTTTTCAAGACAAAGCCATTCAGGACAAAGAGATGAACAGAAAGCAGATCTACTTATACAGGCGCTATAATGGCAATAAACAGGCTCATGATTAAAAGATGAATTAGGGCAAAGAGAACAGGGCTTCTTCACAGAAGGAACACAAGGGAGTTTCAGAAAGTCACCTTAGTACTGACACTACGCGGGATCCGCTAATACTGCTCAGTACTTTAAACGCTCAGATACTCAGGGACGGAAGGCCCCTCCTGCCGCGGCCATGCTCATGCTTTTCAGCTTATTATCTTTTTTCCACTTCATTCTCCGGTTTTGGAACCAGATTTTAATTTGTCTCTCGGAGAGGCAAAGAGCATGTGCTATTTCAATCCTTCTTCGGCGTGTCAGGTAACGGTTGAAGTGGAACTCCTTCTCCAGCTCCAGGGTCTGGTAGCGCGTGTAGGCCGTCCGGGCCCTTTTGCCTTCCGGGCCGCCTATGTTGTCTGCAATAGAAAAGTCAGCGGTTTAGCCACCAACTCCTGTCTTCCAAAGTCCTCCAGGGGGACAAGCTTGGGTCCTGAGCAGGGAACCCAGGCGAAAAGCTCAACAAGTTCTCCCTACCAGCCCGCACACCCCTCCCGAATTTCCTTCCCTCTTCCTTTCTAGAGAGAAAACAATACGATTTGGATCCTGGGAACAATCTGCCCATCTGAGGCTGGGGCCGTGTCCCGGAGGACTCCGGCGTTCCCTGGCTCCTCTCCTGCCCTCTGCGCCCTACCCCGGGCGCCCCGATCGGGAGGCACAGCCCTCCCAGGCTGCCCACCGCACAGAAACCCAGGAAGCAAGGCCCTTTCCTGAGCGCCCAAGTGGCCTTTGGGTCACCCTGCCTCAAAGTTCCAGCCCCGAGAGCCGCCTCCAGTTTCCAGCCTGCAGGGTTGGGGCGCCTGCTTTCTTTTTCTTCCCTTCCCTTTCCTTCTCTCTCCCTCCTGCCCCCAAAATTCAGAATCCTGCCGGCTCTCGCCCGATTCTTCCCCCCAAGCCCTTTTTCGGGGGCACTAATTAGTAACGCTGCTTCCCCAGCGTAGCCCTCCTCATAAATTATCCGCCCTGACAAGCCCGATTCACGACTCCTACTGCCATCCTCTACCTCTCTGCGTCTTGCTCAGCTGGCCTGACCCGGGAGAGCGTTCCAAGGCGTGGGGTTCCAGAGGGGTTTTTTGCTTCCTGCCCCTTTCAACGTCTAAACTGGCCCAGCGAACGCCTATTTCCCCCACTATTTGTGAGCGCGGGGTGCTTGCAAAGAAGAGGAGGAAGGAGGAAGGCAGAGGAGGGAGAACGGCAAGGAGAGGCTCCGGCAGGGCTGGGAGAAATGAGACCAGGAGAGAGACTGAGAGAGGGCGGCAGAGGAGAGAGGGGGGACCGAGAGCCGCGTCCTCGCGGTCGCGTGGATTTAGAAAAAGGCTGGCTTTACCATGACTTATGTGCAGCTTGCGCATCCAGGGGTAGATCTGGGGTTGGGCGGGCGGCGCCGGGCTCGGCTCGCTCTGCGCACTCGCCTGCTCGCTGCTG